AGCTATTCATATAAATCCGAAGACCCCGAGATGAGGGCTAGAACAAGATAGCAGAGAACACAATTCTTCAAATCCAAACATTCTTCCCACAACACTTCAGGAGGTTTTGTTTAGGAGAATCAATATATCCATACTCTTAATATTCACTGATGCTAACAAAAATCTAGTTGTACAAACCCTGGAAAACACATATTACTGTCAAAAAGCAACAGAGCCCAAACCCTGAAAGCCCCAAGAGGGGAGAACTGCACTAGAACTCTCTGATAACAATGTTTCCCCCCAAAACAATTTGTCAGTTCTGTCTTTGGCCTTGTTCCAAGTAGCTCAATTACCACAGTATCAAAAGGGTATAATTTTGAGGTGATTTCACCTGGAAAGGAAAACGCATTCTAAGTGCCACTGAGATAAAGTGAATACTAAAATTAATGAAAGAGGCCCACATAATAAATAACTCAGGGGAGACCCTATAAGACAAGGAACTGTGTATCAGGTAATCATTTCCGTTTCTTGGCCTCATCTCAAGACTAAGGTAACATATAATTCCTAAAACACCATCATTCCTAAGCCCTATACAAATTCTTGAACTGCATTTGTAAATATTCTTGAGCAAGATTTGCAAATGTCTTAAGAGTGGGTCCGTATCAAATGCCGGGTTCCCCTGCCCTACCTGGCCTTGCGAGGCGTATCAGGGAGATATACACATCATGGCAATCCCTTTCCTGAGGTATGATGAGTTGTATTATCTGAAAGTTCTTGCAGCGAATGAGCAGGGGGCATCCAGTCGCAGTTGTTGCCTGTTTTTCGATGGTGGAAATCTGACTATGAAGAATCTAGAACCAAAAGTTAATCTGGATAAGCACAAGTAACTAACGAATATAACAAGGAGTAACAAAAGCCTCTCAGCCACAAAGAAAACACTCCCCAACCTTCGGCTAGCTCCACACCTGCTAGTCAGATGACAAGAACTGAGATGTTCTGAGCAAGAAACAACTGTCTAAATTTACAATTTTATTTTTCAACACCAAGCTTTCTGATGTCCGAGATCATTATTTTGAAGCAAACAATTTAGCGTACGCATTTGCACAAGTCCAGGTAAGGGAATGTTTTGGTAGCCAAATGTTGAAGGCACTTAATAGCTAAAATTAAATAAGGTCGTGAGAATTTAGTAAAATAAACTTTTGCAATCAACAAAAGTTAGAGATGGCTCCGCTGGGAGGTACCACCAAGCTCCTTAATTCCACATGGGATGTTCAAGTTCAGTATCAACACGGGATTGTTGTTTTCTAAGCTGTTGGTGGTCAGGCAGCTGCAGAAGAAGAGATTTATTTTATTTTTTAATTAATACTTTTATTGACTGATCACAGTTGTACGTATTTGCAGAGTACAATGTAATGTTTTGATGTATGTATATGATGTAGAATGATTAAGTCAAGCTAACATATCCATCACCTTGCTTTCTTACCATTTTTTATGGCAAGACATTAGAAATTTACTCTCATAATTATTTTGAAATCTACATTGAGTATAGTTGCCCCATTGTACAACAGATCTCAAAACTTATTCCCCGTCTATCTGAAACTCTGTACCCTTCGGTCAACAACTCCTCATTCCCTTCCTCCCCACTCCACCATCAGCCTCCGTTAAAAACCATCCTTCCACTCTCTAAGGAAGAGGCTTATGTGGAGGGAACCATGCTGAAGCACATCTCTCTGGCCTTTGGGGAGGATCTCTGCTGGGTCTTCCAGGGGCAGCACTGTATTCTTTAGGTTTCCCCTCCACTGAGTAGTGCCTGCCCCCTTCTGCTAAACATGTGACTCTGCCCATGGCACACAGAAAGGGAAAATCTACAACGCAGGCATTCTGGTTCCAGTCATGAGGTCACGGTTGGGTTGCTGTAGAAAATAAGAGATATCTAATGGTTTCATTATTAAGCAACAGAAATACCCGGTGATGGAACTCCTCTAGCTTTTCTTTTTTTCTTTTTTAAATTATCAGAAAAGTGGAGATGACACAATGAAGTGACTGAACGGTTGCACCATGGGATCCTACAAATAAAGCATGTTGCAAAGAAAGTACCGCAGCATGAAAATGCTATGTCTGACCTACGGACGTTACTGAATCTCTACTTGACAGCAGTGACAGGAAGCTCCTGCATCTTCTGGCTGTCTCTAGGCCTGTCTTTGATGATGTCCACATAATTATGAATAAGTAGATCAAGTGGATATGTAGAAAAAAGGAAAGCACACATTCCAGAAACCGTCTCCTAAACACCCGACCACCAAAAGCCCACCTGCTCACCCTGAGGAGAAATGAAAGAATAGGGTCAAACCTTTTTACTTCAAATAATACAAAACGTGGAAAACCGAAAATAAGGAACTCATACGTACCCACGTCTCTTTTCTCGTGTCAGGTGTATTTTCCACGAATATGACGTGAGTAGCCGTCAAATACAAAGTACCCAGGGCTGCTTTTTTAGGAGATACTCGATCTACCAAGCGGACATTTTCAACCTAGAGAGATCGGTTTGATGGAAAGAGTTACAGTAAAGCAGAAGAGCCATTCACCAAACCAATAATAAGCAGGGAATCTCATACCTACTCCAAAACGCAATTTTCAGAATTTCCCCAATAATAAAAACCAAAGCATGCCCCCTTAAGTTAATTAGATCTCAGAATATGATTCTGTGTATCAAAAGATAAAAATTCACCAATGACTAAAATATGACTTTAAATGTACCACGAAAGATTTGTAGACCCTATTCTTTAAGGATACTCTGAGTTTCACATAGGTGAGCACTTTTATTTCATTGTAATTATATAAAATTTCTAATTTAAGGCAGAAAGCATATGCATTAAAGTCCTGAGTTCACACCACTCAGCTAAAATTCGAACTGTTAAAAGAAATTTCTGGAAACAATTTTTCTCAAGCATACATCTCTTAAGTGCAGAGCAATTCCAAGGATATGTGCATTGGGATAGTCCAACGTGAAATGTTACGGAAATGACGAGACAATCTCTACAGGGCAAGTGAAAAGTGAAACGATGATGATGACTCTACTAAGACAGAGGCACCATAACCTCCAGAACATTCCTGCAACGACCACAGGGCAAAGCAATCCTGCTACTGCCAAGGATCAACCCCCTGCAGAGAAACACTGACTCATCAACAATGGTATCGGCTTCCACGACGCAGCTTAGGGACAGATGCACTGTGCTCGCTCCATTCTTCAGTCTAATATAGAAGCTGGGGTCCTGGTTGAGTTTGGGAGCCTGAGACTCTCGTCTGCTCCAGGGGAGGGGCAGACCTCACGAACATTCCTCAGGACATCAGGAGCAGACGGCGCTCAAGACATTCCCTGGCTCCAGTCTCCTCCAAGCCCTCGCAGCCAAACCAGCCTTCCAGGAATTGCGTCCCATCTCACTCCCTCCCAATTTCCAGAGATGCATGGAGATCAATAAAGAATTAGGTATCATAAACATTTTTTAGTCATGCAATTTACTCTGGGGTGTTACAAAATCCCTGAGGCCTTGTGAATGTCTACGTATATTAAAAGATATTCATTCTAAAACAGTGTCCCTCACCTACCAGCTTATGGTTTTTAAAAGTGTTTCTTTTGTCACTGATAGGCTACACATTCTTTCTTGTGGTTATCCATCATGGTGTGTCTTTCATAAACGGTCTTCATACCACTGGTTTGCTTTCCCACAGGGTGATGATCATTTCCTATATACTCATAAAAACTGTTCATATAGCGAGGCTAGTAGCCCACAGCCCAATTTTTGTTGTGTGTTTTATAACTGCCTCTTTACCAAATTTTTTATTGGTTCTAATAATTTTCCAGTAAGGTCTCTCAAATGCTCTCAGTAGGCAGGAATATTTTCTGTAACAATTTCTTGCTTCCTTTCTGGCGTTTATCTCTTTTTTGCCCCACGTTTAATGGCATTAACTGGAATCTTCCAAGCAACAGCAAAGAGCATGGTGACAGCAGTCACTCTTGCATTGTTTTTTGTTTTTTCAATAGCTTTACTAGTCAAAAGCAATTTTGAAGATATAAAGGGAAAAAAAGAAATGAAAAAAAAACAGTGAGGGAAACACCAACAGCACAATTTCCCGGTGATGTATAACAACAAAAGAAATAAGTAATAAACATTAAAATCCAGTTTTCTGAGAAATGCCGTGAAGGCAAAGAGCACTGTCCAAAAGGCCACCTCCTGGTTTACACTAAGATAGTCAGAACAACCCAAAATGAAATGAATCTCAAAGTTTTGGTACCATCTTGAAGCCGCACTGGTTCAAAACCTCTGCCTCACTGTTTGGCTGACTTAATTCTATCTCTTCCATACATACAGTAAGCCATATACAGCACATAGTATGAGGCCTCCTTTATGCTTGGAGAGATAACACTCAGGAAAATACAGACTTCTGGAGACAAAATTATTGCAACTCATTTGCATGTGTCTACAAAACTTTAATTAAGACACAACAAAGTATTCATGCACTGAAAATGACATTTAATCTATGCAAAAGATATTACTATGTATTATTAATTTTATGCAAAAGATATTACTATATATTTTTAATTCTCGGGTATACATTTTTCACATTCTGATATTTCTGAAAGTGGGATACATCTTACAATTAATGTGTAAGAAGCCACTGTGTCATCTGTTTGGCAGTGCTTTTTCTTTCTTTGTGGTACATAAAATCTTGGTGCCTCTTACCATGGCTGATATCTTAGATTTGTTGAAATCTGGTAAACTTATACTGTTTGGCATTTAAGTGATCATTGAAGCCACGGGACTGCAGAAAAGTCTGACCCAGGGAGAGCAGGTAAGAGTGAGACAAGATCTGAGAAAAATCCAAAGCATAAAGGTCTGATGGTAAAGGAGGAATCCGAAAAGCACACTAGAAAGGAACGGCCAGAAAGAAGGAAAATCAAGAGATTTTGCTCTCAAGGGCACGGCAGAGGGACTGTTTTAAGAGAGAGGGAGTGTTTATGTCCAATAGACCAGAACTGTAAATTGCAGTTGGACTCAGGTACGTGGAAGGCACTGGTGCTCTTAGCAGGGGTGGTCCTGGGAGCGTTGGAACGGGAAGCATAACCTTGAGGCACAAACTCACAGGCACTGAAAACGTAAAGTAATGTCTCTTTGTGGAAGTGAGGTTGTGATGGGATAGAAGGCAGAGGCAGGAAGCCTGACCCTTCAAACTCCACCCTACAGCAGCAGCAGAACACCGCATGGTAAGAGCTTTTCAGAGGCAGCTGGCCAGGCACGACATTTTATAGGCAGAAGCCTATTAGTGTCACCGAGAAGAGCATCTGCCCCTATGACACACACTCGAAATAAAACGACCCATTAGGAGGGATTTGTGAGAAACACAGTTTAAAGGATTAGAAAAAGGAGATGAGGATCACCGGGCAAGGATCTGCTTATCCTGCTCGTGCTAGAAGTTTCCCCAGTCCTGCAATGCTTCCTTCCCCAGCCTTTAGAACTGGCCCCTTTAAAAATGATGGAACTTGTATTTATTTATTTCATGTTTAAAAATTCAGATATGTAAAAGGAAGAAAAGAAAATCACCCCTAGAGCCACAATCCAAACACAAGCACTGTTAATCTTCTAGTGTTTTTAAGAAAATATCTACACCTCATTTTAAGTGTTATTTTTTTTTTTCTAATTAGGTAATAAAATGCCAGAGGAAGGAGTCACAAGGGATGGAGTGAAAACACCTAATCCAACCTGTCTGAAGTCACTTGCTTTATCACAGTACAACCCTTCCTTTGCCACATCTTCAGGACAGCTGGGTATCTACCACAATCCCTCGATGGTTTGTGGGAGGGGAGTGTAATTGGGGAAGAGGTGTGTGCACCTGTAGCTGTGTCGTGGGACAGAGATGCATTAGTGGATGGTGAAACAATCTAACAAGCTAATACAAATTCAGAAGCAGAAGATTATGCCAGCGGTGACCATGAAAATGCAAACCTCCATGGGAGCTGGCAGAAATGCTGGAGAAAGCTTTGGGCTTCTGAAGGGAAGAGAATGGAGGTGTTCAAAATAACTCTGCCAACATTTCACGGATCAGGTGAATCCCAGCTGCCGTTCGGTTTACATAAAAATTACCAAAATGACAACCAATAATAAAAACAGTAACAAATATTTTTAGAGTACTTATTCTATGCCACTGTGCTGTCAATTTGCATGTCTGACCTCAATTAATCTCCACAATAACCCCATGAGGTACGTTCCTACGTAATTCCCATTTCACAGTTCTGTTTAGAGACTTCACAAATTTCCCAAAGTCACGCAGGGAATCGGCGACAAGGCTCAGCCTAGAGCCAAGATCCCTCTAACTGCAAAGCCCAAGCTCATCACCCACCGTGGCTGTGGCTCTTATAAACGCCTTGAGGTCACTCTGTTACTGTTATCCAAAATTCATGTGTTTGGCATAATCAGTTAGCAATCGTTTTAAGCAATTTTATACATAAAATTAGTATTTGAAAACAGAATGCTTTAAGACAAAATTACACTGTAAAACCATATTCGAAAGCCACTATCAGAATATTATTCTTTGAGATAAACCCAAAGACAAAAGGATTGGGAATGGGATGCAAGAGCTCAAACATTGGCAAGAGGAGACTTGCAGGAGTCTTGAAACTAATAAAAGAGAGAACACGAAGTATCTAACTCCATTCAACAAGATGCCCATGTGTAGCACTGTGTTCGGTTCTGAGAAGAGAAATGAGGAGTAAGATAGTCTTTGTCTATCCTTGAGAATCTCACAAATTCAATGGAAAAGACTGTGCCCCATCTAATGTCTTCTTTATTGCCATCCCTCCTCTGTTGGGGTTAGACTGACAGGGAAGAAAGGTTTCATCGTCTTTTCTAGGCCAAGGCTGAAAAGCTTCAGTTGAAACACTGGGTTCCACCATAGCACCGCCAGGTCTGAAACAGGCCACCCGGCTACAGGACACAGGTCCTTCTTGGTCCTTTCCTCGCCGCCTGGCAGTCAGGAGGACTTTGTAAATCACTAAGAGACAGAGCCTCTCTTTGACAGCTCCCCACTGCACCACTTCCTAATTTCAATCTTAATAGACTATGGGCCTTTACTTTCTACCCTGCAGGTCGAATACTGGACTGCTGAACATTTTGGGTTCCAGCATCATCTCAGACTATCTGGGTAAGTAAAGCTACTGAACAAGGAATCTAAAGTTCAGCGCAGGGTTACCATTCACTGAAAAGGACAGAAGAAAAAGCAATGGCAGTGGCCACAGGCTTTTCTTGGGTCCAAGACCAAGTCCTCAATACCATATAAATTAGGCTGAAGGTCACTGTCAATCATTTGGGGGAAGAGATCCAGAGACTGCTTAACGTGGAGAAATCAGAATGCCCGCAGCTGCCAAAACCTATGACAAGTTTATGTTCTAATCTAAGAAAAGCAGCTAGATAAATAGTTTGTCGTGCTAAATTTGGTATCATGACATTTTCTAACTCTACCAACACGAAAAGGCAAG